AAACTGAATACAGATAATCTCACCCTCAGAGATGCTTCAGTAAGTTTTTCTCAGACTGGGCACAATTCTTTCCCCTGGTGCAGCTCTTGTCTTGAAGAAGACGACAACAATGACGAAGTTACCTTGTGCAGTAACGATGATTCTTCGAGATATGTTCGCCTGTGGATGCTCCACAACCCACCTTTTTACCTTCTACTTCAGAGTTCTCAATGTGGGACTCTGCATAGAGAAGGAACTGCGGAGAGTTTTAGATAGAAGGAATTTAGTCTGAAGGAATGAATGTTGCTAAGCAACAGTTGAGCACCTTTTGACTCCTCAGATACTTAAGCAAGATCAGTAGCTTTGGCTTTCTCACAAAGGAGACTCACATGGTTAAGATTGGTGTGACTCCCTCGTGACAGAAAAGAGGATCATAGAATCATAGACTTTAAGGTCAGAAGGGACTATTATGATCGTCTAGTCTGACCAGCACGAAGCAGGCCACAGAATCTCACCCACCCACTCCTGTATCAAACCCCTAACCTATGTCTGAGCTATTGAAGTCCTCAAATCGTGGTTTTAAGACTTCAAGGTGCAGAGAATCCTCCAGCAAGTGACCCGTGCCCCATGTTGCAGAGGAAGGTGAAAAACCCCCAGGGCTTCTGCCAATCTGCCCTGGAGAAAAATTCCTTCCCGACCCCAAATATGGCGATCACCTAAACCCTGAGCATGTGGGCAAGACTCACCAGGCAGACACCCAGGAAAGAATTCTCTGTAGTAACTCAGATCCCACCCCATCTAACATTCCATCACAGGCCATTGGGCATATTTACCGCTAATAGTCAAAGATCAATTAATTGCCAAAATTAGGCTATCCCATCATACCATCCCCTCCATAAACTTATCAAGCTTAGTCTTGAAGCCAGATATGTCTTTTGCCTCCACTACTCCCCTTGGAAGTCTGTTCCAGAACTTCATTCCTCTGATGGTTAGAAACCTTCGTCTAATTTCAAGTCTAAACTTCCTGATGGCCAGTTTATATCCATATGTTCTTGTGTCCACATTGGTACTGAGCTTAAATAATCCCTCTCTCTGCCTGGTATTTATCCCTCTGATATATTTATAGAGAGCAATCATATCTCCCCTCAGCCTTCTTTTGGTTAGTCTGAACAAGCCAAGTTCTTTGAGTCTCCTTTCATAAGACAGGTTTTCCATTCCTTGGATCATCCCAGTAGCCCTTCTCTGTACCTGTTCCAGTTTGAATTCATCCTTCTTAAATATGGGAGACCAGAACTGCACACACTATTCCAGATGAGGTCTCACCAGTGCCTTGTATAACGGTACTAACACCTCCTTATCTCTACTGGAAATACCTCGCCTGATGCATCCCAAGACCGCATTAGCTGTTTTTACGGCTATCACATTGGCGGCTCATAGTCATCCTGTGATCAACCAATACTCTGAGGTCCTTCTCCTCCTCCGTTACTTTCAAATGATACGTCCCCAGCTTCCATTTGAAGGAGATGGTCTGTTTAGTATTCAGACTGATGAGATGCTGAAGAAGTATAAATATAAGATCTGCTACTAGATCTTTAGGTTTCTTTAATACAAGGAAGAGGCCATATTCAACTCCATTAAACAAGTATTAAAGAGCATATTCAACTTAGTCTCCTTCAGTTCATTACAATTATCAGAGACGGGCATGTCATTTCCAACCTCAACATTACACCCCAAAACGCCAACTACAACAGAGGAAGAAAATCAAACCTCACACTAATAAAAGGAAAGTGTTTTGTCTTTATCTTCTACAGTTCCTCCAAGATATCCAGATTTGACATAAGGACATGGTTCTTCAAGTCAATCTATTTGCACATTTTGTCCATAGTTTTGAAACTGGTTGTCCTGTTTTTATTACCAATGGGAGTTAATAACATCAGACAGATGGATTTTAAAAGTTATTTTATGTGTTTTATACAATACAATTCAATTCAACGTCATTAATATGGTGGATAGACAAAATGCAATGAAAGGCACACTTGCAATCACCATACAACATCTGTAATACTGATCAAGAATGCATCTGTCTTAGAATGGGGAGCACATCTGAACAACAAATTGTTGGTCAAAGATCACTGTCACCAAAGGAAAGGAAATTACACATCAGTATTTTAAAACAGAGCAATCAAACTAGCTCTAAGATCTTTTTAACCTCAACTCAAATACAAAGCAATTTAGATTGTAACAGAGAATATAGCAGTGATATATTATTTAAACAAGGGGGACTCACTCGGTGAATTTATGCAGGGAGACCAAGAGTCTTTGGAACTATTATATAGAACATGATATTTATCTAGTAGTAATTCACATAATGGGGGGACAGGACCCTCTTGCAGATCATCTAGGCAGGTCCTCAGGTCAGATGCACGAATGGTCTTTGAAGGATGAAGTGGTGAATCATCTCTTCAGTTTATGGAGGAACCCAATAATAGACCCGTTTGCATCCAGCAACAACAGGAAATGCCAGAGATATTGTTCCAGGGCACGCAAAGAAAAGGAATCCGTATTGGATGCTTTTCTAATACACTGGGGTTGGGGTCTAATGTATGCTTTTCCTCCATTTCCCCTTATTTGGAGAATAAGATAAAACCGGACAAAGCCAGGGTGATTTTAATAACACCAGCATGGCTCAGACAACAGTGGTATCTGGATTTGATGCATCTGTCAAAAGGATTAGTGGAACCTCTACCACGGACACTGGTCTTGTAATAACAAACAAGAAAGGTCTGTCATTTTGACCTTAGGTACTTCACTTGACTGCATGGGGAATAGACCTTTAGAAGTACAGAATGTACTGTTATACCCTAGAAACGAACCCAATTAAAGTGCTATAGTCTTAAATGGAAAAGGATTTTGTTGTGGATTGCCATGTATAATGCAGCTCCTTATATGGCACTCATTCCAAATCAAGACTCAGGAGGGTATCCTGTTATCAGAAATTTGTGTATGTAACTTCCCCCTGTATCCTGGGCTCTATCCTGTGTCTGTTACATTGTTGTGCTTTACATATTACATACACATGAGGGGGGGGGGGGATAGTTCAGTGGTTTGAGCATTGGCCTGCTAAACCCAGGGTTGTGAGTTTAATCCTTGAGGGGGCCAAACTTGGGGATCTGGGGCAAAATCAGTACTTGGTCCTGCTAGTGAAGGCAGGGGGCTGGACTTGATGACCTTTCAAGGTCCCTTCCAGTTCTAGGAGATGGGATATCTCCATTAATTTTATATTTAAGGCTGCTTTACTCCAAAGCAAGTAAAAGTGGAAAAGGAGTAGAAAATGTGAGATATTGGGACTAGCCTTGCACTTAACCTCACTTGCCATCA